CTCGAAAAACCAAATCAGTTTGCAAATGAGTGTATATTCGCTAATTTCGTGCAATTTGGTTTCAAGTAGAACATAAGGTTGACGGAAACCCGGGGACTGCGCCTACCTGATGAGCCCCAAGAAGGGCAAAACCGATCGTGGGTTGTCGACGGATTTTCAGCAACAAAGATATACCTAAGGGATCACCCAGAAGCGGGTTCTCTTACAGGTAGGGAGTGAAAAACGAAGATAACATTTCAAGAATTGTTCTTGCTGTTTTTATCCTGTGCCAGTCTCCTTGAATAGCTAAAACAACCTTTCCAAGTTCAAAAGGACGCATTTGTTCCCAGTTCGAAATGTGTCCGTCAGTGTAAGTTTGCTTGTTTCGGGGTCATGGACTTGACCTAATGGATATCACTTGCTATCTTGCCTGCTAAATGATCCGAATTAGTGATGTCTCAAACACTTATACTGAACGTGTTGCCGGGTACCAAAATGCTCAACCGACTGATGTAAACAGACTAGTTCGGTCACGTTTTTACAATAAACGCCCGACGGAATTCAACACCATTATTCTGTGATCGTCAGACCCCCATTGAAAATCAGTGACCGGTTCTATGAACGACAGTTGTCAATGGTAAAGTTGAGTAAAAAAACACTGAGCAAAGCTACGTACACTTCTCGTGTCATCTCCCTTCCGAAAATCTCAGATTTTTCCTTCTGCCAGTTCCCGATGTGCTTCATCTGGAGTTTCTCTGTGGGATGGAACCTCACAATATGAGGACACGATTTGTTGTCCAAACCATACGGAAGTACATGAAACTATCTCATTACAATTAATAAGGCAACCTACCCATTATGCACCACTATAAATATTTGTATGGTTCCTCGTGCACTTGATATACGGGTTGCCTACGGTAAGACCGCTTTAGTGGTCACGCGATGGAAATTACAGGGCGATTGTGTTATGTGGTTAGCCAGTATAGACTGAATCTTCCGTTACTGTGCCACAAACTTGTTTTTGCCCCCACGACCAATTGTGGACTAACACAGTCTTCGAATACGGGTTATCGCTTTCGGTGAGATCCACTTGAATGAGTAATGAAAAAAAATCCAATAAAACTAAATGTGTGGCAGCTCACAGATTGACTAGTGCCATGTTAAATTGTGCAGCCGATGACCAGTCATCTCCATAACACAAACACAGCCGCCTGAAGAAGTAAAGGAAAGCTAAATGTAGTGTTGATGGGAAACTCAACTGAATACCGGCAGAATCTTCCGCTTGAATGTGCTACACAGCGGCTGCCTCATGTTTCATCTGAGACGAGATTTGAAGCATTGAAAGATTTTTCCTGTAAAATTGATGAAAACCCTCCGAAAGACCACTACCACTTCCGCCCTTTTTGAAGCTCATCAGGTAGGCCTAACTCCCCGAAATTGCCATCAGTTCTGTCTCGTATTTGAACGCTAAATGAACCTGTGAGGCAAGAAAGACCTCATTTACAAACTATGTTGATGTTAACGAGAGACTCAATTGAGCCCAGTGTAGTGTACGACGGATTAAACCGAACTTCAGCCACCTCTCTCGTTAACACTTAATTTGCAAATGAGTGTTTATCCCAACACATCATGTCTGGTACTGAAGTGTGAAACAAGATTGATGGAAATTCGGGTGAAAGTATTTCTTGTGGGTCCAGAAAGGGATCAAAATGGCAGTGAGCTGACAGAGCTCTTGTAAGCACCTTCGTGTCAGAGTGGGGAGAATTCTGTTGGTAGTATGAAATGTGTTGCTTCTTCAAAGGAGATATCGTGTTGTAAAGGAAGCCAATCTACGATGAGATGTCGAAAATCACTGTACAGCTGTTCCATCCTTATTGGGAACCACCAGCAATGCATATCCCACGGGACTCCAGGGAGTCTCGAACCCACCATCTCCCGGATAGTAGTTTGAAAGGGCGAAATGGCTTAGTAATTGGAGCGCGAATTTACTGACCGTAGGGTCTGTGGTTCGAACCCGATCTCTGCATCTTGGCTTCTCCTGTTAAGGCTTGGGCAACCTGTCAGTATCCCAGCCCTCATGCTTCCTTCTGGTAACATGGCAGCTAAGCACCGAAAGGGTGTCCCAGCTGAACGATTGTCTTTTCATTTTTTAGTAGTACGAACACTTAACCGTCCGACAACAAGTGGCTGATCAACAGCGTGATTAGCATAGCACCGCTCATCCTCCAATGGCGGATTCGAAATCACGTGACTGCGTGTTGACCGACTCCTCAAGTGACGGCTTCTCGGACGGTTTACTCGTCGTTATTTTTCCTCTTGAGCAATAACATACTAGCTCCATTAAGTGAAATTTCATATAGTTTACACCCATGTTTATAGCCTACACAACTCGTAACTTTCGGAAACATCCAAACACTTAATGCACGTCAGACAGGCGAAGCAAAATTTACTGTCCACTTACGGGGCAACTATTACCAGAGTGTGTCTTGAGAATAGGCTTGTAGTACGAGCTGATGGATGACCTCTCCAGAGCAGTAAAATTCAATAGAATCTTCAAAGAACCAAACTGTAATGACATCTGCTGAGGAGTGATCTATTCTGGGGCTAGTCACTTAAGAAGGTAGCGGGTCCCTCTTTACAGTGGATTCTTCTCAAACACAGCCAATTTTCGTCCAGCCCACAGATGTTAGTTCTGAAAGGAATACAGTGGGTCGGCGTTCTGATGTACTGCATCTGTGGGACTAAATGGAATCCACAAGACTGCTGAGAATCTCACCCGTGCTCATTGACTATGATACTTTCCAACGTCCGTTTTACTATGACGCAGAGTACCGTCCATGCATGTTTGTGGAATAGAAACAAAAAAACGCTTAACTGTAGCACCCTTTAGGTGACTAGCTGCCATGCCACCAGAAGGAAGCACGAGGGCTTAGATACTGTCAGGTTATCCAGGCCTAGACAGGGATTGTCGAGAGGCAGAAGTTTGGTTCGAACCACGGACCTTCCAGTCAATAAATTCGCGCTCTAACCACTTGGGCCATCTTGCCCGGACGGTATTTTGTCAACGGTAGATTATCCGGGTGACTATTTCAAAGTAAATTACTTTCATTACGAATCAATGAGCCCTGCAGACTGCCCTTATTGCAACCAATCGTCTTAGTATGATCGAGGGTTTTAAGAAACGATGGAGATGGTCCTTTCTGTCTCAGTGAAATGTTTTCGAAATTTGCTGCTAGTAGTCTGTGCTAGGGACATCGTACTCACTACCTTCTGGCGGGGGTGCTCCCACTGAAGTGACAGGGCGAAAGCAGGTGTCCGGTGTCTTAGCATAGTTGACGGTCCAATGGCTATACGTCTGAGTGGAATAACTCCCTCTTCCAAAATAACAAATCCCCGGTGTGCTAAATGAATGAGAATCTGATCGCAATAACAGAGGTACTATTTAACAGTTTTCTGCTACCTGGCGATGCAACAAAATGGAGACATATCTTAAACAAATGCCAATTTATGGCGAATTCCGACGGAACTCTGTGACATGTTCGTAGAACCGGATCGTCTCTCCCCGAGGAAATCCGTTAGCAAAGAAGAGAGAGGTTGTTGTAACCAGACAAGAAAGTGGAGCGCATCAAAACCATTAGGTTGAACCTAGGCTAACTTCCTGATATGAATGTGACAAGCGAGTAACACGTATCGGCGAAAAGGCGTGGGCAAAGGCGTACTGAAGATACAAAACAATGCATAACTCACCTAACTCCATGTGTACCGGAATCGGCCAATCGTCTTTTCTTCGGTTCATCAGAACCCTGAGTATCGCATTGTTTATCATGCTTACACCTCCATTAGAACCGACTTCACACTGTCCAACGTATAGAAGACGACCGGGCGAGTCACGAGTGAAAAACGAGTCAGGTTCCGATGATAACGAATCTAGAAGAAAGCGCATAAAGATAATGGGTACAATTTCTTCCTGGTCAAAGTAGGGCCCTTTCCCAAGAAACGAAAGGGTTCCGGCGAATCAGATCTGCTTTTACACTATCAACTCCATAGAGTTATCATAATGTTGTCAACTACTCACAAAGCGTAACTAAATGTTGTTGTTAATTTCAGTGTACTGAGTTGGACCGAGATGTTTGGGAGGACACTTCAGAGTCGACTTGGGAAGTCACCTTCAAGACAGAACTCGTAGTTGGTGGGCAAAAACGATCCCTCATATGTACAGTTCGTGTCTATATTATGGACTAGTGCTACTAGTCACGAGCTCAGGACCGTGCCGTTGCAGTTAACCACATGGACGTGGGATCAGTCCTGTCACAGCTGGTCGATGAGTTACAATCAGGATGAAATGCGTGGTTCATAGGCTATCAGTACCGACCACATTACACCTTCACGATTAACACCTTAAGCTCAAAGGTTCACAAGTTTGACATTCACCAGATCCTCCGAAATGATTGGGAAGAGCTGCCTTCATATGGTCGAACCTCCAGAGGAATTCCATTGCATTCGCCAATTCAAAAATTCACTCTGATTCACACTGTCAAAGTTGAAGACCAAGTTGGTAAGCGAGCCTCTTTTTATTTCACTCCGTTTAACTTTTTAGCTACAAATCCCGCTGCGTTCCCGCTGGTTAGGAACCAGGACAGCGGTAAGCTGCAGTCCATGATCTGACCAGTTCCGTGGTACCAAGTTGTTCATCTTTTATCATGTGCATCTCGGGATAGCTTGGCACTGACGGTAATAGTTTGACGTAGGCAAATCATTAGTTGCGCAATAGAACCATGTGTCTAAGCGTCATAAATCATGGCTGTCCTACCTCTGAGTACCAGTACCGAGATAGCAGTTTCCAGAGGGCTTGGTTAACTGATGAGGGCCTCAACCTTCCGTTGCCGATGCGTAATCTGGCAGTCCTCGAGCTTTTTTCACTCCATGCGTAACTCAGTGGAGTACGTGGCCCAACCAGCGGAATATACGCGTCAAAACAGGCTCATTTATCATGTACCCTGACAAAAACAATCAGATGCAGCTCAGCTGCGTTAATTTGACGTTTCTGTCAAATACGAACGATCCCTCAGGGACACGGATGAGGCAGGTCAGGTTCGAGGGGTCATGGTATTCGATTCGTACTTCTCTCTACGTGCAAGCCCATTGTCACTGTTCAGCCCTTAAGGATTCAATCACACGTTAGCCACAGAATAATAAAAATCTCGCAAAAACTTGGCTAGTGAAAATCGTCTTCTTAGCTTTCAGCAACATACTATAATAATAACATAATAATAATATAATAACACAATAATATGCGGAAAAATGACGACCTGGTAGGGATCAAGTTTGATGGTATCTTGACATGTCATACGGCTGTAGATTTAAAAATATCAACCAAAGAAGAGCTAGGAATACGATAAACGGTGAGGGCTGCTACTGAAGAGGACCTCAGAAGCTGTTTCTTCGAAGCTTGCTTGAATCTACCGTCCGCACCAATCTAATTAGCAAACGATTTATAAATGCATTGCGTTTATGAATCAGTGTACAAGAAAAACTTTTAAATTTAGAGTTCACGTTTACTGGGTAATTCCCAAACACAGCGAACATAGTAACGGGCTGCCAGCGAAATTCAACCAACTCTATCATACTGATAATAGCGGACGCTGGAACACCTCAAATGTGGCTAGAAAAGGTGACACTGTTCGATACGAAACCGGTTCTTTTCGAAGAGCCGTCCTCATCATCGGCTGTAAACTTTTGCGGTTCAAGACGTTCAGGACATTGGCTTGTCCTTGGCATGGCATGACTGAGTGCATTGCGGAAATCCAGTGCATGGTTTATACCTAATATTCATGGCATGTTATCGTACTCCTATGCCTAAACATTTGTATGGGGATGTTTGTACGGCTCCAAACAGGGCCGTTGGCCTTCCCCTGTGAATTTTGTCCGGCAGCGGAACACTAAGCAACCTCGATATTCGAAACATTTACGACATAGGGGTATCGAATCTCACAGGTATCCGGTAACTAGTAAAACAAATAGGATAACATAGAGCACGACCTGCCAAGGTTTACCTGACGGAGTTGTAGATACTGTCGGAATCAGAAACTCAAAGCCAAATCGTTTCAATAAAGATTCCAATGGCCGGAAAATTTTCCCATTCGGCATTTGGCTTTTGATTATGGCCATAGGAACGGGTTTGCCTTCATTTTGGTTTCGGAGCGTGGTAATCAGTGCTGAGCCGTTTCGGAGAGTTTTGCCATACATTGATACAACTACATCGCCCACTTTTACCTTGTTGTCCTCAGCTGCAACTCCGTCCGGATCTAAGTCCGTCACAACAGCGTGTCCGTCCAGGAAGTCTAGGCGGGTGCCCAATTTGCTGTGAATTAGACATTGAAAAGAGTTGCCAAATAAGATCCACTGTAAACATCACGGGAGATCTGTTTGCCGCGTACTCTCTAGATAAGTACGTGAGCTTTAGAGAGGGCGACATGGATCGGTAGTTAGAGAGCGAATTTACTCCTCGGAGAGACCGTGGTTCGAACCCGACCTCTGCCTGCCTCGATACAACTACATCGCCCACTTTTACCTTGTTGTCCTCAGCTGCAACTCCGTCCGGATCTAAGTCCGTCACAACAGCGTGTCCGTCCAGGAAGTCTAGGCGGGTGCCCAATTTGCTGTGAATTAGACATTGAAAAGAGTTGCCAAATAAGATCCACTGTAAACATCACGGGAGATCTGTTTACCGCGTACTCTCTAGATAAGTACGTGAGCTTTAGAGAGGGCGACATGGATCGGTAGTTAGAGAGCGAATTTACTCCTCGGAGAGACCGTGGTTCGAACCCGACCTCTGCCTCTTGACTTCCCCAATTTAAACTTAAACAATCTGGCAGCATCCCAGCCGTAGTGCTTCCTCCTAGCGGCATGCCAGCCAGGCAACAAAAGGGAACTACGGCTGGACGATTATTACTATATTATCTAGAGGTTGAACAAACATTGAGTATATGGAAACTGACCGAATTTAAGTGTGGAAACAAAAAACAGCCTCTCGGGTTTGAGGGCATCAAGCAACCGTAACGGTTGCTTCCAATTATCTAGTCACTTGATTCTCAGTTAAAAATATAGCTGATTTCAAGTAAAAATGGGAAGTATGACGTATGAAGTTACTCTTGAGACAATGCAAATATGAACAAGCCAGTCAGAAACCGGGTAAAGTGTAGATCTTGTCGGTAATTCATGGGACAAAAACCTTCACTGTCAAGTTGAACAATCGCTAGCATGCCCCTCCCGTGCTTACATTAACTCCTCACCGATGGTTGGAACTGCCCACAAAATACACCGTCAGTGGAGGCTTCGTCCTGTGAGTGAAGGTCCACTTGTCATGTGGATTATTCTTGCCTCTGATATTTTTATACTTTATTGGTAGTACAAGATTTGGGTATCCTCTCAATGCAGATCTTGTCCCGTAAGTAAAACTGATTTACGCTGAAGAGCTGAGAAGTACTGTTTCAGCCTCATTTGGAGTTGTCAGTAGTGCAAATCTCACGGTTAAGTGCTCAACTAAAAGCCGAGAAGTACGGGTTCTAGACTTTCTGAGCATCGCGAGGAGCGCACCGCTTAAAGGTGAAACGACTTTTCAGAATATATTGACTTTACTTACAGGAATCTCTTCACACTGTCACAGGATGTTGATTTTGCCATCAAGAAACGAAGAAAAATCTTAGTTGAGTAAGAATGAATACCTGGGATGGGAAAAAACTTCAAACTCTGACTGAGAGTGTTTATGGTCATGTCTACTGTCACGGATGCACGTTCTACACTTTATTAAAATTTTCACACCAACACTTCCCTAAAATCTACGCCCAAATCAATCAAGCTTGGAGTCCAGACTGACTCATCAGTGTCTACTCAATGGACTCCGTCACCATTGGTTAATATAGGGTTACGCAGTGCATAGAATATCGGAAGGAACACTGCATGGTGGGATAAGAATATCGGTCCATAGCAGCGCCCCCGTGACCATGTTTTGAAAAAAGCGTCTGTCGCTAATGCTATGTCATCCGTCGAACCAAAGGGCTGATCCGACGATATCAACACCGATGGTATGAACTTATTCTTGCTTCCCAGAGCTGCTTCTATCCCGCAAAAAACGGTTTCAACTTCGTGGTCGACCATAAAGTCTGGGTCTACAAGCTGTCCACAACTTATGCCACTGAAACACAACACTGGATCGTCATCGCAAGAACCACGCCTTGTTCAACTGCGACTCGATAGATCGAACAGTCAGTACTTTCTCATGCTAGAGATAAATAAAGTAGATTGATAATTCAGAAATAGCAAAACTCATGGTAAGCTGGACTACAAACTGTCTGTGACACAGTACAATAATACCACCAACTACAGGTGATTTGGGTTTCCTACGATCATGTAACTTGAAACACGCAAGTAATATAAACGCTTTGGTTTACTGCGAGGAGCGCAAAGGATGGAGGTCTTGAGGAACGTGAACCATTCTTAAGGAAAACTGTTGCTTGAATATACAATAATTCCTTAAGATAAGTCAGAGAGGGACCATGTGTTCCGCTGACCCAGACCTAGAGCTAGATCACATCGAAAATAAAATCACTGCTTAGAAAGGGTCTTCTTTCCTCGATTGGATCCCATCCCAAATCCGCAACACCCTGTATTATCTGTAGTACTCCTTCAGTGAACGATGCAACTGATTATAACGATGAGGATACGGGGAAACATACGACTCTTCGAAGGAAATAGATAACAAAACGCCATCAGCCACCTGGGCATCAGTGAGAAATGAAAGAAACTGACGGCTTAGCACCAAGGTAGAATGATTTGAACACGGACAAACATGGCACTAACCTGCAAGGAACAAGCTCATACCGCTCGAACACAGGCATTTCCCAAGTTTCATCTAAAAATTCGGCGTTTTCCAAGTTTAAATCAAACGGTACACGGCACAGTTCAGTGAGCAGTGAGTGAAGTATCTGCACATATATTTCGTTGCTCAAGGCAGAGTAGGACGAGTCGTACAGACTGGTCGCGTAGTCAGGATGAGCCAGCATAAATTTCACCGGAAAATCCAACATACTATGATGAAGCAAGAAACGAATCATGAGACGCCCGCGACCCTGGGCTGTAGTTACGCTTGAATTGTGCTGAACCTGACGTAAGTGATAATAGTAATGGCAACGATAATAAATATAAGAACCACCAATAAACAACTGAATTAAGTTAAAAATGTTGACTGGTGCACCAGTAACGTTTCATGCGCCCGAATGAATGTCATACACGGAAATAAACGCTCGAAGGCCTAGTGGGGAACAACGGTAGCCATCAAAGGAAAACACTTCCACAAGTGAGCGTTGGTTGCCCTAAAACGCAAGAAGGTGGGAGAAGAACGAAGGTGCTTCAGATCCACTCATTTTGGAAAGGAAACACAGATAAGAAGGGTTTTGTAGCAACCAGGAACTTGCATCCAGTAAGTGTAGCTGGAAATGAAGATGTCAATTCAACTTAGGAGTCACCTGGGAAATGGACCAGAGACTTGAGAACTCTCGTCTTTGTAATAGTGATAGAACACAGGGAGGATTGTCTTGATAGTTGAAAAGGAATGAGGCATCGGTCACGGTGGGAGAGGCAATGAAGGGCACGACTTTTCATTGAGCTTGATTCTTGCGCAAGTGGTGGATGGGAGAAGCCATCGCGAAGAGGCTGGATTTTACCGAGATGCGACGGCTTGTCTACCATCAACCTGTTGATCTGTATTGAAGGATGCACCTTCAACACCCTCAGTCCCTCCAAACAGGTTGGTCAGCAGACATGTGTCCAACAAACGGTCTCCTGGCCCTGCAGGTTGGGTGTTGAGACAAGTGTGGTAACGTGTTCTGGGCTGCTCGAGTAGTCTCATGGCGACCACCGCTGTCTTGCGGTCAGGCTTTTGAGCCAAAAGCTTTGGATGAGGACTCTAATCGTACTTCTGTCTAGATTTGAACGCCGTTGCAACCTTGCAACCTTGTCGATCTGGAATATGCAGACGAATCTCAGCTTACAATCCTAAACTTTACATGTAAATGTAACTTCGTACCAAATTGGCCCTCACTTGACGACAACACGACATATAAGCGAAAAAACGCAATTTCTGATGCCTACCATCCTTCTTCATCTTCACCTCTCAACTCTCCTTCCGTCCGGCTCGACAAACTGTTGACATACCAGGTGCCCAAGAAACTGGCACAATGCATGACATCTTCCGCGCCCGCTTTTTATGCCCCTTCTTCTTCTATTGTCCTCTTTTTCTTCCGTTTTCGTTGTTTCTTAATGTGAGAATTTTTAGACATACCGGCCAACAAGTTGCTCCTACATGTGCGCGATATATGCTATCGACTGACGTCCGCCGCGTCTTTGAGACTCGGAAACAGGACCCAGGTGTAGTTGTTGATGCTACAGCATCCGCACTATCTAGACGATAGAGACTACGAACTTGGACTGATCCTTCGGTTGATTCCAGTTGCACGGGTGTCGTTATAGTCTTAAATTTACCTAATTGCTTGATTGGACGCCTGCCGGGCGTTCTATAAAAAAGATCTCACTGTTCGAAATGCTGAACGCTCGTTATTTATCACGTTTAGCTAAGTAGCGGCAAACTACGGCTCGGATCCACCGTCTATTAGGGACCTGTAACCCTATTGTCCACCAGAAAGAGGTCGATTTTGGATAAGCATTACGTATATCCAACCACCACATGTACAAAGAAGTGTCTTCCGTCTCAAGCAGTTGTTCGTGGAAGTTTCGTGGTGGACAGGCCACGCGGCAACAGGAAATGAGAGTGACTGCACTCAGTCAATGTTGTGGAATCTTCAAGCTTCTGTAAACAGAGCCCAGGTGATCCCACTTGCACGTGCCTGAAAACACTGCACAACGTGGGACGAAACCGGTTCCAGTAGCCCACAAGCTGTCATTCCATGGCCGGACTGTTTAGCTAAAGATCGCCTATCTCTATGCGTGGGATTTACTTCGGATACGGTACGCAAAAGACGTTGGGCCAATCTTGCTAATGGCTCTTTGACTCAACATGATGCACTGATGCTTATATTAGTACCATCCAAAAGTGCAGCCATCACATCCTAGATCATTTTCCTTAAGGACGGAGAACTTCTTCGTGTCAATTACCTGTCCTCCCCTGATATTTTCACATTTACTAAGGCTTCATTCCCTTATGGTTGTATGACAGTCAGTATGCACCACTGGTGTATTCCTGTCAATGATGATAATAATGGGAGGGGCCAACCATAAATATGACAACAATCGTATAAGGCGGGGTGGAACTGAGATCCGTAGAGCAGGTCCACTCGATAGGAAGGATTAATCTTAGAGAAAATGGCGAGAAAATGGAGCAACACTAAGATACACATAGCCGGAGGTGACGAACGATAGAAGCTATTTCTGAAGCCCCTACTCGGAGCTGGAATGCAATCCGAACTAGGAAGCACTGTGTCAACGAAAAGAGACTTGCGATATATCGTAGTGGTAATGGCGGGTGGGGACAAACGGACAGATTGATGGGCAATAGGTAACAGAGATACGGTGGAACTAGGGGAGAAATACCAAGCAAATATTTCAGCTATATTCTTCGGCAGGCAGTTTAAGACTCCGTGAGAATCAGGAATGGGGTAAAAGTGGGTGAACAAAAACTAAGGCAGACGCATCTGGCGAAAGTCCAGGATGATCGTTTCCTAGTGGGTGCAAAGGGGGTTAACCTGACTTGTGGCCTTGTCAATGACGGTAAAACAAGACTTACGATTGATCTCGTTGTCAGGTGTGTTTGGAGGGAGGCGCATCTGCTAACGTTTGTTCAATGGATTTTTGCGCAGCGCGCGAAGACGCACGTGATTAAGCCATTCAACAGGGGGTGTTGAGTTCAGAAAAATAAATTGTAGGCTTTCAAGTTAAAAGAAATAAACAACTGACGCACACAGTTACAGCCAGTCGGACAGTAACACCAGAAAGTACGTCGAGACAGGTGATTGGAATGGATTCAGTGAGTGAATGCAAGCAATCAGATGATGAATTGGGGAACCAACTCTATTCGAAAAGCTGACCGTATGAATCAGTTGGGACATGTAGGGACTGTCTGATATCGCTTTCACAACCTGAAAAGCAGAACCTAGAATGGTGAATTGGTCTGCAAAAATTTTTTTGCTTATGCAATGCAGCCAGCCAGAGCCTGTTATTCTACGCAGGCATCCGTGGTCAACCAACTGAAGAAGTCCGCCCCATTCGTGCCCTCGATGGCGCTAATGCACCCGAGCTGCTACCTTCAGTGTACATCTCTCTTTCCAATCTGCCCAGTAGGAAGTCCATTGACAACCCTGTAACCACGCATTGATTACATCAGCTACTGCGTCCAATTTCCAGCCTCCCAAATCATTGGCGAACGAAACTGTGGAAACCACAAGCCCTCACGGCAAGTACGCGGTTTTAAGATTATGGCGATGATGATGATAAGGTCGTTAGATAGGATAGGCCAGGCTTCACAGAAATAGAATGGGACTTTGCCCGTAGGGGTTTTCCAGGCATGGATTTTTAAACCTCAGAAAAGGTAACGCAAATTGGTGAATACGACTAGTCTTCTAGTCTCTCCTAGTCTCCAATGGGCACTCAAACGCGACGAGAAGCAGAAGAATAAATGACATGGGTGTAGGGGCAGGAGGAAACTGATCATCTGAGGAAATTGAACCCATAGTTCGGTGGGCTGGTTTTTGATTAGCTTTGAAAAGGAGAATCCATTTCCCACCGACTGTGCCATTTTTGTTTAGATCTATTGGCGCCGGTGAGTTTGGGGTTTCGAAACTGATTTGAAACACAGTGATAACAGCGATGTATCCATCTCCGTTGACGACGTACCTTATTAATGGCATCTGTATATAATGGGTGAAGAAACTTCCGTTCTTTCAAGCACATTTTTGAAATCGCTACCATCCAATGCCAATAGTCGCGCACACGAAACGTCCCACGAAATCCCAAGTGAAAAAGCCTTTCAACTGCTTCACACAGCTCCCTGAGGTGCACATATTCGTCATCAATCCGACTAATTTGATTTTCGTGAACATCGAGAATGCACTGTTTAATAACCTGGAACTGTGAGGGGCACTGCAACATGCATTAAAAACTTTAAACACGTGCCTAAAAAGGCGATGACAAGTGGAAAATTAAAACAATGCAGTTCTCAAAGGGTGAAGATCAAGCGCAACAGCAGGTGGGGAGAGCGGGGCAATGGGTGAATTGATCAATTAAACAATTAAACGTATCGTTGAGCATAGACATGCGCAAAGTGTTTCTTCACGCACCGTTGTACTTGAAGCTAAGGGGGTCCGAAAGGGACAAATTAGAATAAATCCAATTCGAACGGTGAAAAATTATATAAAGGCGTTCTACCTAATGATAGCATATTACAGGCATGTCCAGAAACGACGCAGTCTCGATAGCGGCCATACAATTAGCGGACAAAACCATTCGGGCCATGCCACATCCTCGTGGGATGGTCCACCCAATGCGAACCCGCGTGGTGTGTTGTACCTTTATTTTGCCTTCATTATAACACTACGTATTTCGTCAGTTGCATAATCGTTTTTTGTTTGAATACGAAAACTACAAAAACGCACACTTGTGCAGTTTCAATTAATAGAAACGTGGTCACGTGCTTCGAATATCTCTCGTGATTTTGCTCGCGCTTGCATCGGTCATTCGCGAATCTCACGTGCTAACTCTGGTAGCACAACAGTCCAGAAAATCTTCGGAATCTATTATACTTGGGAACCGTTCAGAGGAAGACCCCTGGACCACCATGGTTGGATTATTGTTTATTCGCTGACCTGGGCCAACGACGAACTATTTTAGAGAGAGCAATTACTAGTGAGTCTTTTCCATCTGACCTCTTTATTATTGTATACCAAACCTAGCGTTATTATTTTTATTTATTTGCCACACACTCCTGGTAAAGTAACTTATCGGGAAGCCAGAACACTACACCCGCTAAAATCGCTGTGGTTTTGGCTTACATCACGGGGAAATTGAATAGACTGGAGGTAGACGTTTCCACACCATTTGCTTGCCACAACCCAACTTTCCCCGCAGGAAAAAGGTTGGGAGGCCGGGTGACACCATTGGGTAGGATTGTTTCCAGAGCGTCAATTTCACGCACATGTTACCTTTGAGCAGCTGAGAGGACGGACTATGAGAGCTTGGTCGGACCACCACGCATTTACATTAGTTGACTTGTCCCATTGCGGTTGTCAGGTTCTCGCATTGTCAGAAGAAGTCTTTCAGTGCTTAAATGGTTGAAGCTGTCATAGTACAAAGTACTACAGAGTCAAATAGGACGTACCTAGGTCAAACTCCGCCGATGGCACATCTATTTATCGCGCCATATCCTATCCGCAGTCACCACAGTAGTGACTCCACGATGCGGAATTCATGGACACTTCAGTCTACAATACTAGTTCCTCCTTAGAGGACCAGAAAGCATTATTGACAATGGGTACTAGTGCGGTGCGGATGGCCCCTCTTAAGCCCGTTTCAATACCAAGGTTAGAGTTTACAGCTGCATGTCTGGCAATCCAAGTAGCAGATCTAATTGGAATAAGTGAAAGGCGCTACTCTAAGTGTACTGTGTTTTGGACAGACTCCGTGATAGTTCGGTAAAGTGTCCATAACATACCTTCTAGATTTTGTAGCTTTGTCGTAAATAGCCTAAAAATTGTTCGTGATGCGTGGTCACCCACTCAATGGAGACAAGTAAAGTCGGAGAGCAACCTAATCGACATTGTTTCTCGAGCGACGTACAACTTCATTCCGCCGCGCGGATGGTTAACTGGTCCAAGACTTTTACTCGAACAAGAGAATAATTGGCCTCCATTGCCTCGATTGAAGCGGCCCGAGTTAAGGAGCTTTATAGTACATGCCCAAAAACTCGAACGAAATGATGGTGTATGCCTACTAATAGCCCGGTTTTCCTGTTGGGTGAATGTACAGAAGGTTAAAGCTTGGTCAATACGTTATATATATATATATTAAAGTAGGCAGGGTGAGAAAAATGGCTCTAACCTCTGGTGTCGGTGTGCTCCGTGAAGAATGGCCTGTAGTGGCAGTAGATGGTCTCGGGGTGAGCTCAAATGGCTTGGAAAGAAACCTGCATGTTTGAACGGCGGGTGGCGTTCTCAGGAGGGATATTGGAAAGGTACGGTTACTGAGAAAATATGGTTAGGTTTGCACTCTATTGAAGCCGGCACTTGTGGCAGGAGTGGACTCGGACCAGTTGGTGGTTGATGTGTAGGTAGGTGGGTACAGTGCAAGAACCGGGGCAACCGCCGAATCAACTGGGAGAATTTGGTGGGCAGTGTATCGTCCATTACGTTCACACTTGAAATTCCCCACGTTCATTCTGTGCACATTCGTAACCCCTGCTTCACTTTTAGTGGTGCGTGTTTATGAGCGTGTGTATTTGGTGCGTGTATATGAGCTGGCGTTTGTCTGTCCTTACCAGTTCACTCATCTGACCTTGAGGTCATCCGGCCATTTGTGGCCGACTTTGTGTACGTGCGGGAGCCTGTTTTCTCCCTTGGTTTATACTTTTGTGGTCCAAGTGGACCGTTTGTTTAAGCGAATGTCTACTGTCGGGGTTTGTATAATTCGTTAATTTTTGTTGCATTAATGGCACCATATGGAAGGCCAGTCCCGACTTCGTTTTGCTCTCCCGAGGGTTCTGGTATTACGCGTCACTCGAAGATACCGGTAGCCTGTTACAAAGATACTTCCGAAGCAAACACCTCACAGTCAATGCATATCATATTCCACTAGTTGGAGCCGAATTCCATCAACTCGGGCTCGATAATTATTCTTAACGAGGCCAAACTGGTTACTCTAAATTGTGAAGTGAAATGGCACCATCCAAAGCATTACACGCATGTACTGCAACGTAGACAATTGAAGACAGATGATGCAAATCAAACTCCCTCACAGAAGCAAAATAAATGGCAGCATTAAATTGCGATGATGGGGTCCATGTTGTTTCTGAACCGCAAAGTTAGTACAACCCGGTGGTTTTCTGCATTAAGCTTCTACCGAGAGATGTGGCTTGTTTGAATCATCAACGCTCAGTCCTCTTACTTGAAGGTTTGAAGCCGCTAACAGGTTCAGACTGCAATAGGAAATTGTCAAATTCATCGAGTTGTCATACTCTGAATTTTGATGCTAGGTTCCCTCCACATTGCCCCTATCTACCCATTGCTCTCCATCCGGTTCCGAAGTGACCAGATCTGTTGACGAGACAAACCGCACATTCTACACACTCTCAGTTACCTTGTCTGACTTAACCTCCTCACCCGTCCGTCCTGGAGACTCCTAGTTCTCAAGTACTGTTGGTATCCCTTCGCTCACCCTAGAAGCTAGTTGCCCGGGCATCCCACTTTCATCCCCAATTTATTCATTATCTCCCTTATCAGAAGCACAGTTCCAATTCGGCGGAAGCGCTCCACTATTGTGCCACTCTATAAGTCATCCACCATACCCGCTTGCTAGACAGTATCCTATAGCGCCTTATCAAAGTTCCTGTCAGTGATAATCTACTCACCCCCAAGAACTTTAACAATCGGTGCGGTGATCGGCTGACAGATAAGGTTGTTTTCTTTAATCATATTTATTCTGCCCACGATGCCGGGCTATGTATCATTCTTATCTATCTTGGTATTCGCAAGGCGTTCAACCAAGGCCCTCACAGTGCGCTCCTCAACAAATTACAATAGGTGTCCCGGCGCTGAAGTCATTCATTTCTTACCTGACTGGGATAACCCGGGTCACCAAAATCGGAGACCTCTTCTCATCACCTCGTCCCATCACCACTAGAGCTATTCAGAGTCACGTGCTTGACCCCCTACTGCTCTTACTGTGCAATAATAATGTCAGTGGTTCAATCGCCCATGGATAATTTCAGCTGTTCGCCGATGACATTAAGATATCCTGCATGCTAAAGTTAGTGACTGTTTCTATTGTTGCTAACATTCAGTCTGATCCAGCAGTGAATTCGTCTCGCAGCAGCCGCAGGCATGCAGGACTGCCATGGAAAATGTTCAGCGCTCGTCAAATAAGTCATTTTTCCCGGCGTCATATGCACCTCTGTATCGTCTTTGCTGTCTGTCACTTGCACTGAATGCTCTATGGCTGTAGCGCATTAGGTTGAATCTAGGCCTTCTGCATCGCCCGATCTACCGACGGGCTTACATAACTGACTGGCACGCCGAATTTTTTTCGCGCTCTCTCCAAAATACCCGCAACTCTGGATTTTCCCTTCTGTTGCTGTCCCGTTGAACCGTCTGTAGACAAAACTCTCTCCTTTGCCTGTCTCCTAAAGCATAAAACAAGCCCCTCTCCCATATCCTTACTGAAGCCTCTTTTAGACTTTCAAACGACTTTCGATTCTTACCTGTCATTTGAGGGGGCCGAGCATCTTTCCGCATGACAGCTTATACTGGACAGTTTAATTGAAATAGGCCCTAGACTCTTCTTATTTGCGCTCTCACCCTGACTGTCCTGTTACTTGGTCCTAGCATGTACATTCGCCAGCCTGATACCCCTAACGGAAACCCACAATTGTGACAACCACTCTCCCAAGTGTCGCTGTCTATTAATCACCATCTTATGTATTTATTACGCAGACATTTCTCTCCAGGGACTACATCTGCACCTGCTCCCTGAAGCGCAGTTGTGTTGAAGAGTGTCTTGCACCTGTCGTCGTAGTTTTCTTCCTGTCCATCTGCATTGGCCTCGTTATATTTCCCTAACACTGGCCGTGAGTTTCTGTGGCTAGCCAACTTATTCGTAGATCTTTCAAGCCCACCCTCATCCATGAATAACTCTGTCAGCTCTACTTAATGCCTGCTTCTTTGCCTTGACTAGATATGACTAACCTTATCCAACATTAAGCCCCACTGTTCAGAATGAAGAAATGAATGAATGAATAAAATACATACATATAACACTTGTGCGTCTCTGCTTTACGTGGCGGTTCTTACCAATCCTTGCTCGTTGTTTAACCATAGTACACGGGCTCTGAACATTTCCACCCTACTCCCATGACCCAAAAGGTAGCAGCCGTTTGATTTGCT